CTTTACGGGAATAGATAAAAACAGTTCTCTAACCACCCGTTGACGCGCAAATGGTGTTTCCATTGTAAGTTCCATTGTTAGCACTTTCCGCGTTGGAAGTTCTTAATGTATTTATCAGTTTTATAAATACGATTTCACGACGACGACGACACGTACGACGAAAGAGAATAGAAGACTTAGAAGGAAAAGTATGTAGTACAGACATGTTTATGAAACAATTTCTTTTTGCAATAAGCAATCGGAAGGTTGACTCTTAGATACATAAGGACAAAATGCTTTTTGGTAAAATAACGAGTTTCCAATTTCTTGTTTTCAGGCATAGATTTTCTAATATTAGTATTACTCAATTATTCAAGTTTGTAATTATAACGACAAAATCTAAAAATAAACATTTTAAAAAATCTATGTAAAACGTTTCAAGGTAATAAAATATCGAAAACAAGCAATATCAAATACAAATTTATTATTCCTAATATGTGAAAAGTATTTTTTTTCTGAAATGGATCTTCTCCAAAATGAAGGACTTTTAAAATACTAAAGTAATTGAAACTTCGATAATTCGAAAACACCTACGACTCCAAATAACTCTGCTGAGCAAATTTCTTAATGTCGAAAACATTTACGAGTTTAACTTTATGTTAATGATCACTAAATTTTCAGAAGAGAATACAATTATAAATAATTTCGGAGTTCAGGGAAACGAAAGTAGTAATTTTTAACACATGGAATTTTCTTTCATTGTCCAATACCAATACCTAACTACTCACAAAGTTTTCAATAATGTGAAATATTTTACAAAATAATAATTAACACTATTTCATCCACACAATTTCATTCTTATTCCTTCGTTAGGTAGGATTGAATTGTAATTTAAAAAAGTCAATAATGTATCTTTCCTTTCAATTTCAAATTAGTGAAATACCAATCTACTAAATTTCTTATTTTCATTCAAAGTTTCTAAAACAGCCTTAAATTTTAGATCATTCCAGCATCATAGTCATTGTCACAGGGAATTTATCAATTTTTTCTCGTAACCACAGAACACATATCTATTAAAATCATAATGAACATTGAAATCTCCATGAAAAAGTCAGTATTAAATGCGATGTATGATGAAAAACCGAAATAAATAAGTCTTCATGTTGAAGTGCAAGGATGAAATGGAGAACTTAAGCAAGAAGTAAGATGATTTCGTATCGTTTGTTTTCGGTACCATGTCACATGTCATTTACAACACGTAAAGTTGTAGGCTTCCGCGGCCGGAGTCATGTGAATGATCTTGGCTGGCAGCTAGGCAGACAAGCCCTGAGAAAGACCACG